CTAATTTCAGCCTGTTCTGTATGTAGCAGTCAGAGTGATCCCGGTAAAACACAAATCAAGTAATCTCAATTCTATACCTACCAAGTTCCTCATATTATCAGGATGAGACAAGAGTTCAGTGGAATTTATGTGTCACCAAAGTAAGGTGCGGACTTCCTATTAATGACCTTAGAGTACTGTATGATCTTGACCCCTAATTTTACTTTAACCTCATCTCCAAATACTTCTCCTTTGCTTATTCCACTTCAGCTACATTGGCTTCCTCGTGCTCAGTTGCCCAGTCATTTCTGACTTTGTGGCCCATGGACTGTGGCCAGCCAGGCTCCTCTGCCCATGAAAGTTTCCAGGAAAGAACCCCTGGAGTGGGGTGCCACTTCCTACTCCAGGGGATCTTCCCGACCCAGCGATTGAACTCGTGTCTCTTGCATCTCCTGCTTTGGCAGGCAGATTCTTTACCACTAGTGCCACACTGACTCCTTTCCTGTTCTTCAGAGAGGCAGGTATGCACTCACCTTAAGTCGCTAGCTCAAGCTGTTTGCTGTCTTAGAGCATTTTTCCCTCAGATAGCTCCATGGATTGTTTCTTTCTTTTAGGTCTTTACCCAGTGTCACCTTCTTGATGAGGTCTTTCCTAATGACCTTATTTAAAATTGGGTACAGTGATCCATCCCCACTGTTCTCTTGTTATACTCCTTACTCATTTCCCTGCTTTAGTTGTATCTGTGCTGTGTTTTAAGTTTGTATTTTATTCCTTGTTCCCCTCTTATAGTATTTTGGCATTCCACAAGGACTGGGATTTTTGTCGTTTTGTGTTCAGTGAGGTGTCTTCAGCACTTAAAGCAGTAATAGGCACTTAGTAGGTATTCAGTCAGTATTTCTTAAAATTAAGTAAATTGAATTTTATATCATGGGGATGAGTAGTTTCCAAATAAACAGTTTTATTATCTTCTGATAATGAATAGCATTATTTCTTTTCAGGTAACATTCTTTTTCTCATCTTTTTTGCATTGGCTTAAACTTCTAAAGCAATGCTAAATAATGGACAGTTGCTTTTCTCATTACCTCAGTGGGAATGCTTTTGCCCTTTGTACTTTTAGTTCTTGCATTGAAATGAATTTGTCTTCTTAAAGAAGTAACCTTTTTTTAGATTTGCTTAACAGTTTTTTGGAAAATATGGAGTAGACTGTGAATGTTGAATCTTAAATCAAGTAGCTTTTAGGCCTCTGGTCAGATGACTATATGATTATTTTCTATTACATATAGATGCCATGAATTACCTCAGGAGATGTTTTAACATTAAGCTATCCTTTTCTTCCTGGAATGAACTGTATTTGATCACAGTATGTTGTTCTTTTAATTTACTGCTGGATCAAATTTGTGAAACTCTCCAATATTCCTAGTATTTGTAAGATTTTAAAAGTCTTACCTCATTTGTTAAAGTTTCTATTTATTCATTCATTCTCTAATGAGAATTCAGTCCAAGCATGCATTTGCTTTCACAGATACCCTAATTCACCTTGGATCATCTCATTGTTCATCTATATTCTATGGACTTCTCCCTTCAAATCATAAACTAGAGGACGCTGAGGTTATTTTCACTACTGGTTCACTGATTTAGTAGCCTGAAGAAAGTAGAAAGGTTACTAAATGCACCCTAAATCTTTATCGCTTAAAGCCTTATTAGTTTCCAACAACTTGATTCTTATTTTTCTAATAAAACATATAGAGTTATCCTTAGTATTTTTTTTTATTTTTGCTCCAAATATTCAGTCTATCAGGAAATTCTGTCTGCACCTGACATATTTTAAATTCCTCTATATATTTGCATCTGTTTGTATTTTCTTTTGTTTATTCATGTCATTACTACAGGTTAAAAATGATCACAGTTTCGTAATGTGTGTTAATATCTGATTTTAGACCTCCGCCCAATATGGTTTCATTGTCCTGCTGGTGTTGAATGGTGCTATGGATATGTCTGAGAACAGCTTGATTACCTGCCCCCAACCCCACCTGTTAGTGACTCTTCCTAGATACCCCAGTGGGCTTTCTTTCTCTGAGTGTAACAGCTTTACCAGGTCTGTCTCAGTGTTGACTCTTCTAATTTCAGTTTACTTATGGATATGCTGTCACTTTATATACTTAGATTCATGGTTGTTTTTCTTGGGAAGAATTTGACTAGTATCTCTAAAGGTGTGTCCTGTTAGGTTATTTCTGTCTGCAAACAATAATTTAAACTCTTTGTTTTCATTATATTTTTCATACTTTTCTGTTCCCTATAACATTTAATCTGCTTTTAGCAGCATCTGTCCTTTTTTTTTTTGCTATTTGTAGTTGTGCTTTAATTTCTACGACACTTTCCTTTCTTCTGCTTCTTTCCTTAGTTCTGCCAGTTCATGTTTTATTTTTTCTGGTTGTTTTGCTGCTTCTTCCCTGTGCTTATACAGCTCTACTTTGTGCAAAGAACTCGTTGGACACTATTGCTTTATATTAAATGTTTTAAATAAAGAGATAATTGATGCATAATATTCTGTAAGTTATACAGCCTGTTGATATATGATACATTTTATTTAACTTAAAAATCACAGACAATTATTTGGTCATAGTTTTCAAGTTATAATGACAGCTCTGTGTGTGTACATGTATATGTGTATTTGTGTTTGCCATCTGCTCATCCTGTTATTTCGTTCTTTTTCTTGGAGCGCCTTTGGACACATCCTGTGATACTTCTTTTTGGAGGGTTGTGAGTTTTTCCATCAGCTGTTACAGGAAGCCTGTGTTGAAGACACATTACGGTCATGTTCCCGATTAGCTGAGCTCTTTCTGTGGGCCCAGGTTTTGGGGTTTATGCATGTTTTTGTGTTGTCCCTGCCAGTCTCAATATGGGGGGTAGTCAGTTTTAACTATTAATAATTATCTCTACAACCTATAACCAATAACTCATAATTGGTTTGTCTGTGACTCCACGTTCTACCTGTTCCTTTTATTATAGGAACCATAATAGGACCAGAGATTTTCCTGCTTCTGTCTCATGTATTCTGTTTCCATTGTTACAAATAGAGGATTAGGTTTTTCATCTGAGTATACTCATTTTTTAAAATGTTTTTATGAATTTTGGGGGGAAATTAATCTTTTTATTTCATTGGTAGCCATGATGTCCTTTCTTAGTTTCTTTCCTCCCACAATCACCTTTGCCCAAGTTTGACTGCCCTTGACTGTCCTTCAGCTCATTTTGTAACTTAATATTTTTATGATCTTTTCTTTTCTTCTCAATTCTTAGGCTTATTTTTAGACTTAGAGAAGGGAAATACCAATTTATACTACCAACTTTAAACTTGAAGTCTAAGTAGTTTTTTTGTTTGTTTGTTTTATCTTGCACAAATATTTTTACTTCTGTAAACTAAATATGGAACATTTACCTAAATTGATGATAGTAGATTTTCTCTTAGTTTTATATGCATTTGTTCATTTTCACTAGATTCTGGGGAGTGATATTGAATTGCTCTTAAATGCATCCATCAGATATTTTTCTGCAGATGCTATCGAATAGATAAAGCATGTGATTGCACTAAAATTGAAAAACTGTAAAAGGTGTACTGTGAGAAATATATTCCCTTAGTCTGTCAGATTATACCCCCACTCCATCTGACAGTTCTTGCCAGTTTCATTCTGTTCTTGGAGAGAAATTCTATATAAAAACAAATATGTATTTACATGTATACTTAAATGTTTCTCCATTTTTTGTTCAAATGCTGTCACTGTACACATTTTGTGCCTCTGCTTTTTTACTTAACATACCTTGGAGATAATGCCTGTGTAACTCAAAAATATACTTTTACAGTAGTAAAAGTTTTGTTTGAATCATGGGTCAAGACAGAATTTTCACATTTGTATTATTTTTCTTTTAATTTATAACTTCCTTTACCTCCTCTTTTTTAAATGAAACTTCTTTTTCTTTTCTTTTTTTCCTGAAGAAATACATATGTGCAGAAGTCTCCAAATGCTAGCTTTGGGGTTGACTCTCTCTCCCTTGGGTGTCTTTTTACATATTTCTCTGAGCCTTGTATTTCCTATAAACTGATAATGAGATATCTTGGATTGGTTAGTTTCAGGGTCAGTTTTCTTAGCAAGAATATTTCATAGATGGTGCACTGTACATCCTCTTGCATCACAATAGGAGCCACGTGATTTCTATGTTTAGTGATGTTAAGATAGACCCATATGTTTAGGTGTTTTCAGCTCTATCTGACCGTTATAAAGTTAGCCATTGACATTTCACTTGGTGAACATTTCCTGGATTGGTAGCAAAAAAAGTTGTCATTCCTTTCATTCCTTCTATATTTAATTTGGTGTAAAGTGATGGCAATATGTAGTTTTTATAGATTTGCTAATATTCCCTATTTTATTTAAGAGTGCTCTCTTTTTTAATAGTTTATTTATTTATTTATATATTTATGGCTGTGCTGGGTTTTCGTTGTTGCTTGGACTTTTCTCTAGTTGCAGCAAATGAGGGCTGCTCTCTCATTGCTGTGCATGGGCTTCTCCTTGTGGTGGCTTCTCTTGTGGAACATGGGCTCTAGAGTGAGTGGGCTTCAGTAGTTGCAGCCCACAGGCTTGGTAGTTGTGGTGTGCGGGCTTAGTTGCTTCCATGGTGTGTGAAATCATCTCAGGTTAGGGATTGAGTCATATCTTGTGCATTGGCAGGGTGGATTCTTTACTGCTGAGCCACCAGGGAAGACCCCTTAATTTTTAAACTATTAGTTGAGAAGATTCCTAGATTTAAATCAATTTTTAACATAGATTAGAAATCACCCATGGTCTTTAAATAGTATTTCAATAAGAAAATCTTTTGAAGTCAGTTATTTAAAATATATGTGAAATAACTGCCTAATTTTACTTACAAAATTTGTGTTTCCATGTATAGGTGTTTGAAACACCAAGAGATTCTCTAAACTTTTAGGATGTATTTTAGAATATCTATTTTTACTGTTCCTTTTTATATAGGTTGTTAAGTGTGGTATGCTGTGATCTAGACACTCTTCTTCTGTTGGAGGCTCAGTATCAAGTATCTGAAATGTTACTAAATGCTCAAGAAGAAAATACCTTAGAAACCTCTGAAAGTCACAGGTAAAAAAAAAAATACTAAGAATAATAGCTTTCTTTACAGATATTCTGTTAAGACAGTAATTTCAGTACAGTTTATTTAATGTTTTCCATTATCTGAATTCAGTAGATTTAAATTAGAGTAAAAAGCAATTAAAGCATAAATGCCAGTTAAAAAGATTGTGAATGACGTTTTTGGAAATGGCTTGCAGAGTACTACTTTCTAAGTTTCTGTTTAGTTTTTTATGGTTTAGTTAAGTACTGACTTTATTAAGTTGTGTCACCTTTAAATTCAGATTGCATGAGAAAGATGACCCATTAAACAAAATGTCTGATTTATGTGTCTCTTGTAGAGGCAATTTTTACTTCATTTTCTTCATTATGTTAGTTCACAGTCATAAATTCTGATTATTATGAAATGATGTTATAGTAATATATTGAAAACTTTTTTCTACTAAAATAACATATTTGACATTACCTTGAATTGGTTGACATGTGCTAGATACACATTCAATTAGCTGGCATTATTTTTGTGTCCATAATTTTAAAAAAAGTGTTCCTCCACGCTAGCTAGGCCTTGGAAAAATAGTATAGATCAGGCTATATTGCTGAATACTCTAGGTTTGATATAGAGGATAGTATTAACAGCTGCAGGAAGTGTGGAGGATGCAAAGTTTAGAATTTGAAATATGATACTTGGCCTAGAACTTATAGCAGAAAGCAGAGAAACTAAAGAGCCTCTTGATGATGGTGAAAGAGGAGAATGAAAAAGCTTATTTGAAACTCAGCATTCAGAACACTAAGATCATGGCATTCTGTCCCATCACTTCATCGCAAAAAGAAGGGGAAAAAGTGAAAACGATGATAGGTTTTCTTTCCTTGGACTCCAAAATCACCGTGAACAATGACTGCAGCCATGAAATTCAGACGCTTGCTCCTTGGAAGGAAAGCTGTGGCAATCCTAGGTGGTGTATTAGAAAGCAAAGACATCACTTTGCCAGCAAAGGTCTGTACAGTCAAAGCTATAGTTTTTTCTGCAGTCCAACGTTGAGAGTTGGACCATAAAGAAGTTTGAATGCCAAAGAATTGATGCTTTAGAATTGATGCTTTTGAACTGTGGTGCAAGAGAAGACTCTTGAGAGTCCCTCGGAAAGACAGGGAGATCAAACCAGTCATTCCTAAAGGAAATCAACCTGAATATTGAACCTTATCATTGAAAAGACTGATACTGAAGCTGAAGCTCCAATACTTTGGCCACCTGATGCAAAGAGCTGACTCACTGGAAAAGACCCTGATGCTAGGAAAGATTGAAGGCAAAACAAGAAGGGAACAGCAGAGAATGAGATGATTAGATGTCATCACTGACTTGATGGACATGAATTTAAGTAAACTCTGGAACTTAGTGGAGGACAGAGGGGCCTGGGGTGCTACAGTCCATGGGGACACAAAAAGTCAAACATGACTTAGCAACTGAATAATAACAACTAGAACTGAAGGGAACATTGACTAAAAATGTGGTAAAGTTGTTGTGGAAGTAATGCCTGTCTTCATCTCATTTCTTTTTGACATGTAGCATTTGTCAAGAAAATATTCTTCATACCATTCATTTCCTATATCAATTATATCTCCAATTCTTTGCTCCTTAAGTCGGAAAGCTGTTAGATAAAAGTGAATTTATCTCTCCCCTTTCTATAGAAACTGTATTGCTTTTTTCCTTATGCGTTGCACTGACATGATCTTAAAATTAAATCATATTTAATTAAGGCAGTGACAATTGGTATGTTTATTTTTCAGGGAGTTTATAATTGATAGCTTATCAGTAGAAAGAAATCATGTTCTTGTTAGAATAAATCTTATTGGTGGGCCAATGGAACGAATTTTGCCTCCAAGGTTACTGGAGAAGGTAAGTGGAGTAAATGGAGGGGAGAATGTTTTTCAAATGTATTTTGAAGCAAGATAGCCAACTCAAATGACAGGATACAAGTAAACAGTTCCTAGTGAAAATAGTATTTTTCATGACATGATGTCACGAGTGGTAGTTTGTGTTGCAGAGTAGGATATTATTTTATTAAAAACTTGTCATTTTCCTTGTGTGTCTGTGAATTTCTTTCACTGTAAAAATTTTTCTCCTTCATGATAATTAATTTTTATTAGATGACTAATTTTGTTGACTTTCATTGGCAATATTGAGTACCTCTTTTTTCATCAGTATCCATAGAGTTTGGTTTTCTCTGGAAGGGTTTTTTGTTGTTGTTGTTACTAAATGCACTTGTTTTGACTCATCACACCAAGAATGGTGAGGTCAAAATGATTACAGTGCAAGAGAAATAGCTTTGTGACCCATCTGTTTATAGACTTACCATATTTATGTTCAGTATTCAATGTTTCTATATTTTGTTTTAGTTAGTATCCATTAGAATATTGAATTATAATATAAGATAGCTTTTGGTTAGTTATGTTACAACTCTAGAATTTATGAAACAAAAGCCAATTTAAATGTCACTTCAAAAAGTCTTAAAATTTGATATTAAACTACTTCCTAAAGTCATCTGTCTTGCTTCTTTTTTAGGGTAATGAACCATATCCTTGGCCAATGTTTTCATCATACCCTTTACCAAGCTGCTATTTGTCAGACTGTGTTACAAGAAGTACTGATCTAAAACAAGGTAAAATGCTTATCATCAAGTGCCATGCTTTAGTGCTTTTTTTTAATACTTTGAAAAAAAGACATAAAGTAATTTGAAGGCAGATTAATGCTATTTTTCTTTCAGTTTGCACATGTGGACAGATTTATATCTATTCCTTTGTAAGTTTTCCTTATTTCACATACTCTTTACTAAACTAATACTTGTATGATGCTGAATAATTCTTATCAGAACCTTTTTTTGTTTGTTTTAAAAAGGGAATTAGTGATTTTCGATGAATTCATTCTAGATATGTAGAAGTAGCCCACCAGGCTTCTCTGTCCCTGCACATTCTCCAAGCAAGAATACTGGAGTGGGTTGCCATGCCCTCCTCAGAACTTTATTCAACAGATTAATATTTTTTTAATACTTGTGTGCCACATGTAAGTCCTGTGTGCTCAAGACTTGAAATATAAATGTTATATAAATATAGTAAAATAAAAAAACTTTAAATGTCAGCTGTTCATGACCTTTTAGAGAACACAGTCAAGTAATTAGACAATCGTATAGTATTACAGTGTGATAGGAACTAAGTAGAAAATGTGTAGCCTGCTAGGATAGTTCATAAAGCAGATGCTCTTCCAAAGAACATTAAGTTTAATGTAAGACATGAAGTAGGTATTTTCTGGGTATTAAAAGAGCATTTTTGACAGGAACCAGCAGTGAGACTAAAAGGAGCAAATTGAATTAAGAACTCTAAGTAGTTCAAGGATGTGTGAGATATAATATGTGAGGACAAGAGTGACCAGAGATAAGACTTAGACAGGTAAGCCAAGTTTGATCATAAGGCCTAGGTACCCCAAGTTCAGGTATTTAGACCTTATCATAAGAGCAATAAAAAAACCAAGCAATTTTTAGACTTGAGAATTCTAAGATGAAATATGAAGATATTAAACCATTAATTTGAGAAGTTAACTCTTGATATCAACATGATCTCTGCATTACCAACAAACTTGCATTGGAAAAAACTAACATGTATAATTGATTTCACTAGGTTAGATTCCACAGTTATTATTGACAAGTAAGACATTTTTTTTCTTTCATAAAGCCATTTACCTTTCCCTATGTTTACTTACCTTAAATCAATTAATAGAGGCCATCAACTGATAAATATTTTTATTTCTATCCAGTGTTTAATATATACACTCTGTGTCTCGCAGTTGCACAGAGGCAAAAATTCTATCTTTTTTCCTCTCTATCTAAAGGTTAGGGAAAGAGAACATGAGGGAATTTTAAAAGCTTTTAATATTGTCTTTTACAATTTTGCCTGTGTGTTTTTCTATTTGACCTAATTCAGAGATGTGGGGTTAATATTAAGTAAGAAGAGACCCTTGAAAGAATATCAATTTTGGACTCTTCACACTGACTTTTATCTCTCAGTGAACCCAATCTTTTACTCTGTTTTCTATGCTACTTTCAGTGTTTTAGCCAGTCTTAAATATTCTGACATTCTTTCTTTAGGTTTCATTATTTATTCATGTACTCATTCCTTTATTCAACATGGTTTGTGAGTGCTGATTATCAGTTACTTCACTAAGCCCTGGAGATAAGATGAGGTGTTAAGACATGGTCTGTTCTCCCTGCCTCAACCCTTCAACCCCTTTCCTTGTCTCAAAATCACATTGCTATCTTTGCTAAGTTTCACTTGGAAACAAATATATCTTTTCTTTTGAACAGCAAATTCACTCATTATCAATCTTATTTTGTGATTGCCATATTAGGTAATTTGTTTCTTCAAAGTAGTTTGATAAAAAATATGCTTTATTTGAAACTGACCAAGGCAGACAAATCAGAAAATAAGATTAAATTGATAGCTCCCTGAGAAGCTCAGAGGAGTATAACTTTATTCCCTGTTCTACTCTTAAAAGTGATTTAGAAAAGGGAGTAATAATAACTTCTCTGTCTAGCCCAGAAGATAACTTGCAGGATGGTTATTAACCTTTAGTGAGCCCATAGTATGTCCCCAGTTCCATTTACTCTCCTAGTCTCCTAGATGACTTATTTTCAAATCTTCTCATTAATCAGCCCTTCCTCACCTCTTCCCAATCTTTCCTGTCAGATAACTGTTTTTCTTTTTTTTTTTTCCAAACTGAGGAAATAGAAGCTGTCAGCTTCCATATACTCTTGATACATATTGGCTGACTCAGCTGCATCTGTACCAGTTTAGGTTTTGCTTTACTATGAATGAAACTGCAAATATTACTTAAAAAGGCCAGCTTCTTCAGTTGTGTGATACATTCCATTCTCTTTCTCAGCAAAGATATTGCTTCTAACAGTTCTCTGTTTTTCCTTATTGTTTTTTCATGGGATTATGGGGTTAGGAGATGAGAGCTTGGTAGACCTCCCCACTGTAGCTTTTCCATAAGCCAACAAGCATGCTATTAATTTTTCCATATTTAAAATATCTTCTTTTGAACTTGCTTTCCCCTCTCTACAATTCCATTTCTGTCCTTCTACTGCAAAATTCCTTCAAGGAATTGTCTAATCTTAGTATTGTAGTTATTCTCTTTCTGTGTTTTCTTGAATCTACTTGAAAGCTAATCAGGCTTTCACCCCTGCCATTCTACCAGGGTTAAATCAGTAGGTCAGATCTCAGTACTCATCCTGTTACACTTAGCATTATCACTTAACATGTTTGATGCCTCTGCGTTTTGAAACATTTTATTTGGCTTTCAGAAAGTACATTATCTGATTATTTCCCCCACCCCTTTGAATTTCTGGCAAATTCTTCATCTTTGTTGGATCTTTCAGATCTCTCCAAACTCTCAACTCTGGAGTGCCCCTTAGTTCTCAGTTGTCATTTTTTGTATGTGTGCATATTCTTTTGGGGATTTCATCTAGTCTTATGACTAAAATACTGTCCAGTATACACAGATTTATATCTTTAACCTGTGTCTCTACTTGACTCTGTACTCATATCTGTTTACTTGATACCTTTGCTAGGGTGGTTAGTAAATATATCAAATTTAACAGCTCTGAGATAAACTTCTGATACTCTTTCAAAATCTATTCCTTTGGTACGTTTCCTCATTTTAGAAATGACAACTTTGTGCTTCCATTTCTTTAGGCAATAAAGTTGAAGACTTTTTTTGACTTTTTCTCTTCATAACCACATCTGTGAGTGAAATCGCTCAGTCATGTCTGACTCTTTGCAACCCCATGGACTGTAACCCTCCAGGCTCCTCCATCCATGGGGTTTTCCAGGCAAGAATACTGGAGTGGGTTGCCATGTCCTCCTGCAGGGGATCTTTCTGACCCAGGGATCAAATTCAAGTCTCCCACATTGCAGGCAGACGCTTCACTGGCTGAGCCATTTCTGTCACAAATGCTCTTGATTCTTGATACCTCAAACAAAACCACTTTTCACTCATCCACTACTCACTCTCATCTCTCACTGTACTGTTATAGTAATCTGTTCAGTTTGTTAACAGAGCAGCAAGAGTAATGCTATTGAAATGTGGGTTGGATTATTTTTACTCCTCTAATTGAAACCCTCTAATGACTTCCCTATAATCTACAAGGCCCAGTTTCTGTCACATGCCCTATTTTAGTTAAATACAATTTCAGGTCTCTTTATTTAATTTCACATTTTCCCACCATACTGGGTAGAAACTTCTAGTTACCTTTCTGTTAATGCCTAGAATACAAGTGTTTGAATAAGACATTATTCTCAATTTTACAGCAATACTTAATACTTCCTACTAATGGTGGTCCTGACATTACTGTGATTCTGTTAAGCAGGACAGAATGATCTAGCCAGCCATTGGATAGCCCAAGAGGTACCACAGGAAGGGATTTTACATAGACACATTCTGAGTCAAATATGAATCACACTTAGGTCATTCTGATATTGTGATGTTTCACTGACCCTATACTTATAGAAGAACAGCAGAAAATGGGAGAAGAAATTAGAAGCATGTCCAAATTTCCATAGTACCTAAGAGAGTATAGTGATGATGCCCCTGTAACCTGTGTGAGAATAATGGAGCCAGACATATTTCTAGCAGATACAAAACTAAATTCAAGGTAATGTTCCTCGTTAAACACTGTTCAATAAGTTGAACATAAATTATGCATTTAAGCTAGTAATTATGCATTTAAGCTGTTTAATCTAGTAATACTTTAAGATACAAATAGCTGTTTTAAAGGCAAGAGTTCATATACTTGCCATTTTGCTTTTTCAATTTAGAGGTAATGATTCACTGATTCTGATAGGTGTTATTTTAGTCATTTGCACTGCAGTATTTTGAGATATCATTTCATTGTTGTGGAAAAAAATCACTTTAGTTGTGTGCACACACTGACATTCACCTAATTTGTCTCCCAACTTTTAGATTTATCCTCCTTGCTACAGTTAGCATTTCTTCATCTGTTAAATTGCCTCTTGTTAGTTCCCTGGCATCAGTGTTAGCTATTAGATGATTTATTTTCATCTGTAAATAAGAATCTTGAGGCACCATTTGGTTCAGTTATTTTTCTTTGTACACGTTTTTAGGGTCACTATATTAAAATGTAAAAGCCTTTAAAAAAACTGATAAGTATTATTTATGTACATATGTCACATATGTGGATAATCATAAATCAACTTACATGAAAATTTTTCTTCCAAAATATCATCTCTCTGTTATCTGAGAGTTGAGAAGAGTAGGAAGAAATGTGTTAGTACAGTAACTTATTGTTCCTGTGTAGAAGATAAGAAAGAGGGAAGGGAAGTTGGAGAAAGAGTTGTCCAGTAGTTAAAACCAAGTGCCAGTTAGCATGTCAGTGAACTGCTAGAGATTAACTCATAATTCCTTTCCTATATGAAACAGAAAGACTGAGACAACAAGCTGTTTTGTTTTGTTTTTGCTTTCCTAAGCTAAAATTAGATTTCCCAGGAATTATTACATCACTAATCAGTGAGTGTGCTCTTCAGCATTCCATTTTGATGTGTTCAGGATGGGGACGTCTTTCTTTTAGGAGAAAGGGAAATTCAGTACTTC